GTGCAATTTGATACAGACGAGTTCTCTTTTGTCCATCAAATAAAACATACACTATTAGCCTATGATTTAACTTTATATTTCTAATTTTAAGTTTCAATATAATTTTAAAATAATAATCAATTACTATCAATATGCTTATTAATATCTGAATTCTGATGATAAATATGGGAATAATATTGATTTTTTTTTTATTTTTTTTCAACTTAGAAAAGCATAGATAATTGAAATGTCACCCTCATCGAACTCGTGATACTTTAGTTACCACTTTCATTGAAGAAGATAAATGAACCGTCGTGTCTAAAAAAAAGAGACCATTGAAATTGATTGAAAACACATCAATGATATATTGCAATATTTTGACAACTAAATATTTGATAAAAAAAAAAAAAATTATATTTGAAGTTTTTATACGTTTTGTATTATAATTTTTTAATTATTTATTCTCAAGTCTACAATATTTTTAGCTTTTTCTGAGCATTTTTAGACCATGGGAAGCTAGTTAAACAAACTCATGAAAAAACAAATTATTTAGCGAACTTAATCTATGTCTATATAATGAATCAATCTTTGTTACTATAATTGATATAGTTTTGAGCGGAAAAATATTTTCATCTATATTTAGCATATAATTAACATTTATCTATTATCAATTTTTATATATGAGAATTAATTATTTTTTGTTTACTCAATAGTTATATATTGGCTTAAATACAATATCGATTGATTATGTATATTTTTAATAAGATCATAATTTTAACATTATAGTAATTTGTTGGCACAATTAAAAAATATATATTCGTTCTAATCATGAAAATTAATTTGATTAATTATATTATCACCTCATCTCATCTTTGATAGATATTATTGTTTTTAATTATGTTCACCTTAGAAGAACATAGAATATATATAACAAATACCAGAATATTTATGTTAGAATCATATTAACTTAATAAATAATTTACATTATCAATAAAATTTGCTAATATATAGTCAGTGTAATCATAAAAAAATATATCTTCATTGAATTACATAATTTGTATTTGGTCTACTATTGAAAAATTACATTTATTCATAAAATTATTATTTGATGGTCCGGTGAAATTAAGAATTAGAAGTTTCACATTAAAAATATCTATATACATAAAAATAAAATGATTAAAGTTGTAAAAAAAATTATACTTTTATTATATACTATGAAATAAAGAAAAATGAGTAAACATGATAATACATTCAAATATCATAATTAAACCTATAGAATTTGCTGATAACAAAAATACACAATTTATCTAAATATTTAAACTGGATATTAATTCATTCATTGTATATGTTGAAAAATAAATTAAGAAAATATATAGACAAAAATTTAGAAATAAAAATAAAACATATTACTATGAAGAAATTTCGTTGCATACGTGATAAAGTTACTACAATTGAAATATAACTGCACAAAGAAAAATATATTCCATGCATCTAAAAGTAATATACAAACACCATCGAGCAATATGCAAAATATGAAATGTAAAAAAGAAGTTATAAAATTAAGATAATCAATAATTTTATATGTACATGCAAGTAATTTGTATACAAAAGTCATATTTAAAATCTTAAATATATATGATATTTGATAAATTTATAAATAGTAAAATTTATATATTAAATTGTTAACACCTACAAAAATAAATAAATAAATATTAAAATAAACTTTGTTATTATTATAGACTTGATATATTGTGTTGGATATAATACATATACCTTAAATAATTTTACAATATTTGAATGATAAAAATATTAATTTATAGTATCAACACTAGTTCATTGGGTCCAATCTATTTGATTTAGTATGATATGAATTTGATAATAAATAAACGACTATAATAGTTCTTTTAGTGTGAGTTAAGTGCCATCCTATAGTGCTGTTGGCGTTAATTATACACCATACCTTTTGACTTTCTACTTTAATGTACCCCAGCTCACCCCACCCCCACCATAAACGGATCATAGGATAGAGAGATTCTAG